TCGACTGGTAGTGGTGGAACTACATTCACTATGCTGCATAGTTCATCACTAGTAGTTGGAGAGTTGACTGGCAGTGGTGGAACTAACATTCACTATGCTGCATAGTTCATCACTAGTAGTGGGCGAGTCGACTGGTAGTGGTGGAACTAACATTCACTATGCTGCATAGTTCATCACTAGTAGTTGGAGAGTTGACTGGCAGTGGTGGAACTAACATTCACTATGCTGCATAGTTCATCACTAGTAGTGGATAAGTCAACTGGTAGCGGTGCAACTAACATTCACTATGCTGTATAGTTCATCACTAGTAGTGGACGAGCCGACTGGTAGTGGTGGAACTAACATTCACTATGCTGCATAGTTCATCACTAGTAGTTGGAGAGTTGACTGGCAGTGGTGGAACTAACATTCACTATGCTGCATAGTTCATCACTAGTAGTGGATAAGTCAACTGGTAGCGGTGCAACTAACATTCACTATGCTGTATAGTTCATCACTAGTAGTGGACGAGCCGACTGGTAGTGGTGGAACTAACATTCACTATGCTGCATAGTTCATCACTAGTAGTAGGCGAGTCGACTGGTAGCGGTGCAACTAACATTCACTATGCTGTATAGTTCATCACTAGTAGTTGGAGAGTTGACTGGTAGTGGTGGAACTAACATTCACTATGCTGCATAGTTCATCACTAGTATTTGGAGAGTTGACTGGTAGTGGTGGAACTAACATTCACTATGCTGCATAGTTCATCACTAGTAGTGGGTGAGTCAACTGGTAGCAGTGCACCTAACATTCACTATGCTGTATATTTCATCACCAGTAGTAGGAAAGTTGACTGGTAGCGGTTCAACTAACATTCACTATGCTGCATAGTTCATCACTAGTAGTGGGTGAGTTGACTGGTAGCGGTGCAACTAACATTTGTATAGTTCATCACTACTAGACAACTAAATTTTGCTACAAATATTAAAAATTTGCCACTGTCCTATAAAGTGTGCATTGCAGGTCAGCCCTGATGCAACAATTTAAACAAAGTGTGAGAATCGAGGGGGGTTCGTGATTCTACATCATTTGACAAACTTGTTATGATACATAATACAACAAATGAAATTACATAAATTAAAATACACATAACCTTCAAAATATGAAATGTGTATGACATATTTTTAGTAAATATTCTATATAACATTCTAGTGAATTACACATTGTATCTTTTTCCATTTTGAACCCAACTGTTTATTTAAGTAGGTACCCCCCCCCCCCCCAATGCCCTATATTGTAAACTATGGGATATGGAGCAATAGTGTGGAGAAAACTGTTTGGGATGAAAGTCTCCCCCGCCATAGATATCACATCCAATAATAAATGTTCAGAGGGGATTGCCTAAATAGCTACAACTTCAGACATATTGCTTCATGAAAACCAAAATGTGTTTGGACAACATCAGCACTTACAATATCTATTCTCTTTACATACACATGGTCTATTAATGTCCCACTTTCTGTTGTGGCCTCAGTAACACATTGCTTATATCCTTTATCTTCCAGTAGTTTTCTCACACTTGAAGAGACAAAGAGATTTTCATTAAAATCACCCATGATAATAGTGCCACCAGGTATTTTATCCATTTCTGTAGCCAAAGTCAACAGGTTTCTTCTAAATACATCAGCTTTGTATGACCGAGGTCTATATACAACAGCTACTTTCATATTTGCATCATTGACATGGAATGCCAAGTACTCCAAATTTGAGATGGACAAATCCAAGAACTCAATACACCTGTGGAAACTATAATAAACTCCTACTCCTCCATGAGCCTGTTCTTTCAACTCAGCTGTCAACTTGTCAGATGTATCATAACAAAGTGATCTTGGCTGGTGGTGAAATCTGAAATTATCAAGTTGCAAAACACTTGGTGGATTTGCATTGGGCAACCATGTTTCAGTCAAGCAAATAATGTCTGCTTTTAAAAAGCGTTTATCAAATTTCAGGTCTTCAATATGAGAGTATAGGCCTTCTATGTTATGTAACATGAAACTGTAAGAACAAACTGAGTCTGAACCTTCGTCAGTGAAAGTAATGAACTTTGGCATTGTTATCATCGCATCTTTGATCTTGTCATTGCAATATAGAGCAGATTCTTTGAATTCTTTGATCACAAGTCCATTCAATGTTTTTACACGACTTAATGCCACATATGCTTGTCCAGGTGAAAATATCTTGCCTAATGAAACTGTTGCTTTTTCTACTGTTAACCCTTGTACTTTGTGTACTGTACATGCCCAAGCAAGTTTTAGTGGAAATTGACGTCTAATACCTCCACCATTATTCACCCTGTCTTCTTGAGGATTTATTTGTGTGCTGTTTTCTGGTAATGATGAGAAGGATTCCGATTGACTGCGCAGTTTAATGCCAACTTTCTTATTGTCAAACACAACAAAAATTTTGGAAGGAAAGATTTCGCCAGGATTCAAACTTATGTAGGAAACTGTTCCAAAAACTCCATTCACTAAACCATCACTTACATCAATATTTTTTATTAACATCACACGTGCACCGACAGCTAAAGTAACTGTCTTTGCCAAATTTGTATTGTAGACCTTGACATAGAGTGTGTCTTTTCTTTCAAGTTTCTTACTTTTATGATTTCTGCTGAAGTCTTGCGCTCTAATGCATATAGGATCCGAACATAATGAATGAAGCTTTTCAACATTACATTTATCAACCTCCTTATTGGTTGCAAAAATATAAATTCCATCACATTCCTCGCCAGTTTCACGACATCGAAGCATGTTTACATCACTTGTTAACATTTCATCTGATTTCTGTCTTGTTCTTATATTATTTAGTGTTTCAGCAAATTTTGAATCCTGTTGTCTCACTATGTGTGTCAGTTCGGCAATAGAGAAATAATCATTCCACAAGTCTATACCTTGATTTTCAACAAATAAAGCTTTTCCTTTCACTGGAGCTAACTGATAAAAATCGCCTACAGCAATCACAGAAACATTTCCAAATGGTGAATAATCGCCTGTCTGTTTAATTTGTCTAAGTCTACCATGTACATATACAAGTAGCCTTTTGTCTACCATTGAAATTTCATCAATTATGAGAATCTGCAAATTTGCTAACTTTGAACGTATTGTGTTTATTTTCTCTTCTCCGAGTGGTTGGTATGGTAATTTAGCATCAACTGCTATAGCGAAAGTACTGTGTATAGTCAAAGCATCTATATTAAATGCAGCAACACCTGTAGGTGCAGTTAACAGAACAGATATGTCATCAGGACGTGGTACTGTATGAGCAAGAATTCTTGAGGCTTCGTAGTATATAGCCTTAATTAAATGAGATTTTCCAGTTCCTGCACCACCACTTAGAAACATGTGGAAAGGCTCTACGTGTATTCCATTGCATTTACTTAAGCACCATTTTCGCACTGTGTAGAATATGTCACATTGCCTATCATTCAAAGACCTGAGCAATATCTTAGCTTCATCTCTTGATATTCCACAGTGATGATACACTTCAGTGGAACAAACATTTTTATCTTTTTCCAGCAAGTCTGGTATACATTCGACAGATTCTTCTTCATCAGATTCAGAATTATCTTTTGCTTTTCCTAGACATTCTAATCTTTCTAATTCAGATTCTGGGTGAATTTGAGCCCAAGCATCTTCCAAAGAAGGATGTTTTTCAAGTAGTCTCTCTGCCGCATCAATCACATCAGCCTCTCTTTCAAACATTGCTTTGTTTCTGTCAACAATAACTTTCACAGTTTCAAGTGCACTACATCCACACTTAACAGCACCAGTTTGGTAGAATTCTTCAAATGACTTAAATGACTCCGGTTTCAACTGGAAATCTGTTCGATAAGGCAAAAACAGTTGCAGAATACTTTGGTAATATTTTTCTGGGTGTTTGGTGAGGGAAAACCTTGCATATCTTATAACAGCTGGTTCAGTTCGGGTTCTCCTCAGCACATAACCAAGTCCATTATTAAGTTTGATAACTCTATTTCGCGCATTTCCCATATTTGACACCTCTGAATTTGAAAGAACTCGGTATTCAGAAACAAAAGTAGCAAGACACATTATATCAAATCTTTCTTCAATGGGTCTGTTCCTGTATCGATCCACCATGCTTGTCATCCAGATATCCTCATTGTTTAGATTACCAGTTTTACATTTGTTTTGAAGAATTTCAAGAGGTAGACTCATTTTAACTGGATTTTCTCCAGTAGGGATAAACTGTACTTTTCTCGATCCCTCTTTCAACTTTAAATTGCACACCCTGTATACAGCCTCTTGAGCACCTAATTCTCTGTTGTTAAGATATACACCTCCTAGCTTTTTCATTGCTAATTTAGCATCTACATTTCCTTCTTCAGAAGCTTCTCTCTGTGCATGGTCCAACAACAAGCCCATTTCTTTCTCAGCTTTTGATATATAACTGATAATGTATACAATGCAGCTGTATGCATCCACAACAAATTGTATGTCCATATTTGCATTCCAACATCGCAGAAGATCTTTATTGTACTGGTTAACCCAGACATCGTTGGGCTGTCTTTTTAAAACTATGCTTGTTTTCTTTGTCAAAGTACTATATGCTCTTTCAAAGAGCTCTTGGGAGAGCGCAATGCTGGTAAACAACGAATCAACTGTTGTAAAGTTGTTATCAGTATTTGAGAGTTCATTCCAGATTTTTGTGAGAATTGCCTTAGCAGCATCATTTGTCATCAGCTTTCCTACTGACCCTTGGTGATTATTACCTTCAACCTCATCATCGTCGTCATCTGTGTACTCTGGCTGTACTACATCATTTTCAATATTTTCTGATTCATGGTCATCATTAGATTCACTTTCATCAATTCGAGAAATGAACGTTTTTTCCGAAGGTGGACGCGGAAAATTAAACCTACAAGTAGTGCCTTGTTTCCTACACGTCTTAGAATGCCTCATACTGTGTTTCTGAACACTGTTTACAATATCAAATAACTCTTCATCCTGTTCTGAAGATGGTATTTCACAGCTTATATATTTGTCTACAAATTCAGTTACTTTGTGATCCTCATCTTTATCAATTATTGGCGCATCTTTGACCCAGAATAGACAATGTGTATGCGGTGATCCACGTTGCTGAAACTCCACACGATAAAAATAATCTTCAATCTTTCCAATAGGCTCTGCAGGTGACAATATTACCCGTTTCAAAAAACAATGAAATCTATGTTCAAACATTCGTGCAGCTGTTACAGGATTGTTTCTCAATATGGCACATTTTTCAGACCAGTCAAGCTCTTCTGTTTTACAATAATCGCCGCGTTCATTAAGAATACTCTCAATCATTTCAGGCCACCTCATGTCTGCTGATGAAAATGAGCAAAACCATGTTGGTATTCCTAGCTGTCTTAACATTGCAAATAGATCTTTCTGTGCACTTTGCCAAAAAGGTGGTGTTCCACGAATAGGTTTCATAAATTTGTAACCTTCATCATTTTTCAAGATATCTTTGAGAGATTGTGTGTCTATTAGAGTTGAAGCTGTTATAGTTTTGCTACATGATTTAGTAGACCCTTTCCGTAATGCGATTGATACGTTTGAGACAACTTGCTGTACCTCTGATAGATACTGAGCATAAAATATAAAGTCAGTATTCCTTGCAAATCTACCATCTGCGTTCATTAAACGAGTGTTAAGGTATCTTGACAATGTAATTTTCTCATCCCGTTTGTCATGAAAAGTTGGTGATCCAGTAGGATACAATACAGGAAACGACTTGGCCTCATTACTTTCATCCATCAACATTTTGACTGGAGAATTTCCTTCAGCGGGAGCAACACAAGAAATGTTTCCACAATGCTGGTCAAATACATCTTGTGCTATATCAACAGGTTGAAGACATGTATCAATAAACATCCCCTGCTGTTCTTTCTCACAATCGTCATCTTGTAGTTGTGATTCAGTCTCAGTTAGATTTGATGTATTATCTTGTTCATTACCTTCATTTTCTTCATCAATTCTCGATAATGGATTTGTCCAGTCTGTGTTATATTCAACATTGTTATACCATTTATTATTCATTTTGAGATACCTTAAAGCATTTTTGATATGGGAGTCATTCACAAACTGGTACTGATAATGCCCTTTATACGTGAGTTTTCTCTTCAATTTCACTTGAATCATCTGATCATCTGGTCCACTTCTTGGTAAAATAGACGTTGTTTTATCTATACTAGATGGAACGCATACAACAGGTCCATGCACACCATTCTGGCCACCTTTCGGCAAAGCTAACATTTTCATGAACGGGATATGTAAACCAATCAGATGCTGTTCTAAAGAATTCAAACAGTTTAATTTCTGTGGAATACGTTGTAAATGAAGATTGTTTACAGAAGCTTCAGCTGGCATTCTCCCTTTCAGAATTTTACGATGACAGGTGAAACATATCCATAATTCTGTTTTGCCAGTTCTCATGTAAACACAGTTGTCTGCACAGATACTTGTACATTTATGAAGATAATCATCTGTGATACACTTTTCAGCAACTCGTGTTACTTTGTTCTCTTTTGTTGAATATATTTCTCTTTTACATAGAATAACTTGATTTCGAAATAGTTGTCTGTGGCAAACTGAACAAACGTACTCTGGCCCATTGCAAACTTCATTTCGAAATAAACTTGTAACAGATTCCATGTTTTGCTGTTTATTTGCGCTTAACTTCCTAGATAATGTTACTCTAGCTTTGATATTTTTCTTGTGGTATTCATTCTCATCATACTGTTTAATGCTTCGTGC